GCGCGCGCGCGCGCGCACCTTTTAACAAGGACGTCGCTTCCGTTGTACTTCGAACGGGATACTCGACGTAAGAAATTAGTCGTTCGCTGTAAAGATCGTAGTTACGATTAGTCGCGATTCTAGTCGATTGCATACGATATAAGCTCGTGGTTGCTGGAATTAATTGAATCGCGGGATGCCGGTGTCTACGCAACAATGCCACGACATAGATTCTCGATGTTTTATGGAAAGTTACTTCAGCTTGATCTATGCTGGTATTAGGTATTCATAGCATTATTGGACTCACATGTTTATATCGAACGTTCTCGTTCGTTGCATCATCACGATCAGTCCTTCGACGTTACCAAAGCCTCGTTCGTATTAGTTAGGTTATCCGAATTCAAATCGCTCGAGGATGACAAACAAGTTGAGACCGTTTGTTCAACGTGAACCTGTTTTTTTACTTCACTCGAAATATTCTTTCGTATTTCTACGCTCGTTTTTATTGAAATCGCCCTCGGATTAGCGAAGTCGCTTGAACTTGTTAAGCGGTTGCAAAATGTAATGACTTGCTTGAAGGTAGGTACGAGTCGCGCGAATTCAAGTGATCTAACGAACTTGGCTTATAGTCCCGTTTAAATCAGCCAAGTTACGTGAATCCAAACTGTTTGAATTTGAATAACCTGATTTCAAGAGGATATCTGCTGGTATATAAATGTTAATCACGATATTAATCATAATTATAAATCTGACATTTAATTTAATACTAAATATAAATTTCAAGAAAGGTCAAATCGGTTTAAAGCATTGATATTAGTAAATTGGAAATTATCTAACGACCGTGCTGTTCGTTTCGAGTTAGAGAAATCTCGAGTTTCTAAAGAATCTCAACTTTGTTCGAACGAAGCTTAAACCAAGTCGCACGAGTTCCAGTAACTTGGCTGCTATAAACAAATCCCAAGTAGCACAATTACAGAGCGTAGTAAGAATTCGCAAAGTTCTGGGACGAAGATTCGAGGATCGTTCGAATCGTAATCGAAGGAAATTTCGATAGAAGCGAGTTTTTTCAATTGCGGCGGCGATAACAGCGAACCGCAGCAGGACAAACCGACTAACATTATTTCGAAGAGATTTAAACGGCCTGTGGTTGGGAACCGGTTTTCCATCGCGCTTGCCTTTTGCCGATGGAATTCCTTTAAGTACCGTTCGGAATATTGCATCAGGAGCCAAGGTCATTATGAGTTCCTTCCACGAATTTGTCCATCGTTTTTGACCCGTGTGAAACTTGTCTGAATCGCGCGTATCTCTTCATTACCCAGGAAAAAGAGAACAATGCTGCGACCGATGTAACGCGTCTATTAATTGCCGCGTCCACGCTCTTACTTTCTATCGGCGGGCGTTAAGGAGAAACACTTTCTGTTGTATAACGGAAAATTGAAGCGTTTCGCTCGACCGCACCCCGTTAACGTAAATTTTCTTTAATGTGAAAAATTTAGTCGCAGCGTTAACCGGCAGAATGTGTCGACTCTTCGTTCCAACGATAATTTCTCTATTTATAGAAGGTAAATAATTAGAAACAATGTAAATTCGTTTCATTTATAAATAATCGTATGGCGTTTATATTCGCAAGCATCATAGCTCGATCTAATCGAAATTCATAATCGTTGGATAATTATCGCGTCGTAAATTTGCATGCATTTATAGGAAATTTAACCAGAGATATACAGAAATGTGTAAAATATCCAAAGCTCACTAGTCATTGTAATATATTTTCCAGGTGACAGGAATGTCAGTCTAGATGTCGCTTCTTCGGTCGCGTTCATCAAATTATGATTTCGCGTAAACATCCAAAGTCGAATAATCATAGAAGTTTCGGAATAAACAGATAAACTGGTAAATAGAGAAACAATTTCTCCAGGCTTGCGTTGCTGATTTCGTTCGAAGCGACCGATTTTCAACCTCTTCGAAGCGCATATTTCGGAAAAAAGTAGCGCGCCGCCGACCACCGGCCTTGATACGTGACAAGAGTTCCTCCTACCATTTACACGCTTTTTCTTTGTTCCGCCTTGTACTCGTCTATACGTCTTTGTCTCTCCTCGTGCATATAGCGTAGCTAATATGCAAGTTGAAATGCGCACGTGTGTCCAAAAATATATATTACGCTTATAGACGAGGAAATTATAAAAGGAAATGTTTTTTTTTCAGAACGCGCATAAGTCAAGTGGATCGAACGACACTTCGCACAGCGAGAGCAGCACGCTGACGGCAAGTGCAACGAGAACTTCGAACAGGAGCGAGAACGAGAACGAGAGCGAACGTGAGGAGTCTGGCCGAGAGAACGGGAACGGGAACATCAGGAACGAGACGACGATGGCGCACGTGCACGATACCGGAAACGGCAGCGTCACCGGTAACGAGCCACGACAGGGCCTGAACCTGAAGATGAGCGCCAAAGAACTTAGAGCTCAGCTGGCTGCGCGCAAGAAATACGATCCGAAGAAAGAATCGATCGGCTTCAAGGACAAATTTGACATCGTACAAAAATTATAACCGTTGCTCTTGTCCGTCTCGTTCGATAGTCTTGTCGGCTATGCTGCGCGGTGCTGTTTCTTGTCTCGCTATTAGTAGTCAGGATGCTTGTGTCCTGACTGATCCGGATGAACGCAAAACACTGTCGGATATTTTTCTGAGTTACTGTATAGACAGAAATAGCTCGAGGCAATAGACATTTTTGAAATTCTAACCGGGCATATACACGCGTGCGGATGTACGTATCTTTATGTGTATTTGCTTGTACCTGCGAGTCCATTAAAATCCGATGGTTTGCTACAGATAGGACGAAGAACGAATTACAACGTTTCTAAATTGCTGAAAAGTCTGAACGTAATAACGTATTGCGAATCGATCGAACGCTAAAATAGTTTCTTGTTACATTAGATATACAGCTGTCCCGCTAACTACAGCGAGAATTGCGCGCACCAAGGACGTTCACGACGACGCGGGAGAAAGTGTAGAACGTTGCGCGACGTACGACGCGTAACGCGCGCGCGTCATCGGCAATTTTCATTATTCCTTATCAAATTTAACGTATCGTTCGTTTTCTTATTGTAATCGAAGGAACGTGTATAGCTTGCGAAGTAAACAGCGTCTTCCACTTCTTGCGAGTAGTACGCAGAAAGGAAAGCTTCTTTTTCGATCCTAGAAACCGATATTTGACACAACGAGGAATATGCCAACACCCGAATGGATTATGTAATTTAAGAAATGTAACGATGTACAAAAATGCGGCGACACAATAGTGGGAAGACTTGGGCAAATTTCCACGTTCGTTGGAAGTTTCAACGAGCGTATGCGACTATATATAGTTGAGAGAGTCGCAGGATTCGCAGGAAACTCGGCTACTCTCTAACTCGACATTGCTAAATATTACGACAACTTGTTGTGTAACTTTCAATTATCGCCGTCGTGATCCTTTTACGTCGTGCTTCGTACCTTACGCGAATACCTAGAAGCTAGTTGTTTTGTTCTATTTTTTATTGCTCTTTTGTTTTTCGCACGATATGTACCTACATACATTCCTGTAGTCACGATAAACACCGATCGGTAACACGCGGAAACGTACGACTTTATTATTTGTTTGATGAAGCGTTACAAGGAAAAGAAACGATTTATTGCCGATTTCGTCATATTTTTCGAAGCGTTATGTCGCACAAATTTCAGACTCGATAATTAATTCGATCGACGCATCAGAGTCAAATAATGGATGCCGATATATTGCATTTAATACCCGATAATAAATCGGTCGATAAATTGATCAGACGTCACACTTTCTACGAATGATGTCATGCGAGTATCGATAACACCTATTCCTATATGGCTATTTTACGACTAAAGTACGATATCTTAGATATAACAATATTTCGTGTTGTACATCTATTATTGGAGATCGATAGATTTGATAAGATCAAGCGCTTTTGTAATTACAGCGCGGACTCTTATCTGTTTAAAGTCAGACAAAGATAGTTGTTTTGTTTTATTCATAATTCGTATTTCGTTAAAGCTGTTTTTATTTTGAAATAAATTTTACATATGTATAAAAAAGAATTCTTCTTTTGCGGTATTTTCAACGATGCAAATTTTAAATACATATGTGTAACAGAACAGTTCAGTTGGAGAAACAAAAGGTTGTAATCTTTGAAAAGGAAAATGTAATTCTAAGAATAATTTGTTTTTGCGTGGAATTTCATTTATTTGTAAATTTCGTCTATTGAAATTCGAATTTTCTGTTATATTTTTCGTCTACTATCGATGATCGGTGTCAAACGAATTAAAATGTCGATTTGAGCGCGAATCGATAACACCGCGCACTATAGAAACCGATCGATCGCATTATCGATCAAGAAGATCGAGTCGCTCAAGGTTAATTCGCTTACCGTGATCTATCGGTTTATGCTCTGGCACTGAATATACGCTATGTAAATTCTTACATATTTCTCGTTTTATCGCAATACATTTGCAAAGTTCGATGCATAAGCATGTTCATTTCTGTAAATATTAGATCTTTGTGCGTCAAGGTCGGTGCAACGATCGGAAGAACGAATGAACCATCGTCTTCATGCCTTGTTTCGCATAATTAATATCGCTGGCCGTCGATATATTATTTACGTATCACGCGTTCGAGGCAGTTTGCGATATTTCTGCTAGTATTAAAAATGAAATTATAGTATACTGAAAAGTTGAAACGATAAACTCTATCCCTTGTCATTTTGAAATGTTAGTTTTCACGCAAACTATTGCACCGATTCCTTGAAATGTATATAAATGCTCTGAATAAGGGTAAAATACACACGTTGTTACAACTATTGCACAAGTCCAACGTATTTTTTAAGCGTAACTGTAAGCATTATGTTTGACGACAAGACTTAGTTGTACGTTATTCATCAAATTATGTTCATTTACGTACATCTCTGTATAAATAATATTGTACGTATATGACTCGCTTTATTTCTTACAACCTCCCATCGTCGGTACGTTATGTCTTCAAAGTAACTCGTATATGTCAACATATCGAAAAAGAAGATCGAAGGAAAAGCAAGTCGAAGCTTCTACGTTCGAGTGTTACAGGTTAACAGTTAAAGATACATGTTAACCCATAACTTTTGTTACACTTAATTTACGTCTCAGAACACTTTGATCAGTTTCTCGATCCTTTTGAGCTGTAACACTGCCATCGTTGTGTAGTGTATCTTTGAAAAAATCTAGTAAAATTATTGTTGATGTTATTTATTTTCGAAATAAGTACTTGCCGGAAATTTGATTTTAATTCCTAGCACCGATGACACTATAATCGTATTCCGTCCTGAGTCGGTAATGTCGGAAGTGACACGAAAATATGTAGTAAGAAGATTCTAACTGCAGATGTGGTTCTAGCTCTAGAAACTTCAAATTCTGTGATATAAAAATACATTGCATATCAGATCTATACTAAATTTCGTTTATGGCATTATTTATAAAATTTTTCGATCGACATTACGACTTACTAAAGAATCGATACTTTCCTCCATCTATCGTTCTTCTGATCGATCAATGCATCTATTTTAATAATTGTGACTATGCGATAAGTTTCTGGTTACTTCTATGGTAGAAAAATTCGTCGTTTGTGAATAAAAAGCTAAATGTCTATGTGTTTATATGACATCTGTAGACCCAATATGTAATTTGTCCTATATCTCTATACTTTTTGACTTGCATTTTGACCTGCACATCTTTTCAGTACTTGGTGTTTTTAAGAAGTCATTGTGAAACTTACATTATGCGTACGAGATGAATGGTCGATGTTGTGGAGCAGAGAAGGCCGCATACATATTTTCGGAAGGATGCAGTCGTGCAGCGATAGTTAACACTGTCAGTCAAGTAAAAGAAAAAGTGGTTGAAGATGTTGGCTCGTGAAAAACAGAGGAAGTAAATTACTGGCAAATTAACAGCACCGTGTTGGATCGGTGGTACGATGAAAAAGTAGCGGAAGAAGGGTGCAAAGGCAGATTCTTTGAGTGGTAAGTGTAAGCGAGAGAGCACGACGGGATTGAGCGTGGCGCGAGTGAGAGAGAGTGCGCGAGGCGGACATATATGGTTGCAGGGTCCGAAAAGCTCTCAGGTTACGCCGACGGCGCTAACCGTTTTCACGATGATGTTTGCTCTCCTTGTCTCTCTACTATCTCTCTCTCTCTCTTCTTCTCCTTCTTCATCCATCGTTTCTCTTTTCTTTTCTTTCTCAAATCCACGTGTATACACTCGCACCTTTCGATCCCACTTGTCTATAGTCTTTCTCTTTCCGACGTATGGGCTCGCGATCTCGGTCATTCGTATGCACACAGAAATCGCATTTTCTTCGTCGCGCCACGACCAAAAATACCGGTGTTCGTGCATCCATGGGTGAAAAGGAGAGGGAACTACAGGAGCGGCATTGGCGCGACGAAGACGGAAAGAAGAACCGCGACATATCGTCGCGATGCTGCGCGAGAGAAGGGATGAGGTTTTCGTTATTTCGAGATTATCGGGGATTGCCTGCTTTTTGGAATCGTGCCGATCGTCTCGTCCACTCCCGATATCGAGACGGCTTCTTCATCTTACTGTACCTTACCAATAAGTCGAATCATTGATGCGAATCGTTCGATATTTAAGTGGCATCCGATAATAAGAAAGCTCGGGGCAACAAATATTATACGAGGTAACCTCAAATAATATGGTTATAATTATTTTTATTATCGTTGCCTACCGATACACCTTAATTTCCATGCTAAATAGTAGAAAATCGAAATGAAACAATTAACTAGTACGATATTAAAGTTAAGAGCTATTTAGAAGAAATTAAATTCACAGTCGATGAAAGATAAGTTTTAATAACGCGGAAGTAACCGAAAGTTGATAAATATATCGGACTAAATTATATTCGAAAACAATTTTAAGTATGCATTGTCTTGCGAACCTGTTATACGATAGAATTGTCAAATTGTGTAAAGCATCGGTAAATAGTACGTGTCTGGGATATTAAATAACCGCGTGGGAGTTTAGTAGTCTAAGAATAGAGGGGCAAGAAATGCAGAATCGTAGAGTTTTGGTCCCCGGGTTTATCATTTTTACATATGTACGTAAGGATGAATTTCGGGAACTCGATTTCGGCTGATTCCAGGTTGAAAGAGAAAGAGTTTATTTATCGAAGCCGACTGAAGGCTTGCAGCTGAAACAAATGACGGGATCGATAAAAATTTCAAATTCGCTCCATCATGATTTCTCACCTCCTCGACATTTCAGCATTCTTCTTCGTATCTCATCTTTTTTTTTTTCGTTTTGCTCTGTAAATAATTTACGCGATTACGTCTTTCTACGTCAACGAGAACTGTTTGGCAATTTTCTCCGCGAAATATTTCGCGAGTTTTTCCCATAGTGAAAATCGTAATTCGAGATATCCGACAGTCGATTTCAGACTGCAGACTATTTACGTAGACCCAAATTTTTATGAACACAGCTGAAGAAACCGTATCTAAACAGAGATTTCTTTGTTCTACGATTATTAGTTGTATATTTTTGCACCACGACTATGTACATTCCGCATACTGTTGGATTTGCAAATTTTCCTTAAACGTACGTATAAACGTTCGTTGTCTAGTCAAGACGTTTCGAAATGTTCTCTGCGATTACCGGTCCGTTGTTAATTATATCATCGCTTTTCACCGCGTTATTCGAAGATGCAATTTTTCCCAAAATAGATATCAGCTCGATAAATAGACGTTCCGATACATACGACGAGCATTTTGTCGACACTTTTGTACTCTAGCTATCTATCTACGTAGCTATACTGTGAAAAT